TACTTTAATTTGAAAAAAAAATATTTGACCTCTGGACTTGTCTTCGTGGTGAAAATGGCTACCGAATGCTATTTTTGTGTGAAATTTCTCGATTTTATTTTTTATATTTTTAACTTTAAAGTACTACAACTTTTTAAAAAATGTATGGATCAATACAATTTTTTCATGAAAAGTAGTATATATATACATCTTTCATTCGACTTACTTTTTTTTTAAATCAGACTATTTCACTATATACGGGGGGGCTTCAAATATAAAAAATGCATATAGAAAGTAGAACTTTTTCAACTTAACTTTTGAAAGTGTTCCGGAAGGTCTGACACTTTTATATATATCTTAAATTGAAGCTTATGTAATATACTTTAATTTGAAAAAAAAAAATTTGACCTCTGGACTTGTCTTCGTGGTGAAAGTTGACATCAAAGTTAATAAAAAATTACGATTTTTGTAAAATAATTTTTTTTTATATTTTTAACTTAATAATNTACCAAATGCTATTTTTGTGTGAAAATTCTCGATTTTATTTTTTACATTTTTAACTTTATAATGCTATAACTTATTGAAAAGTGTATGGATCAACACAATTTTTTATGAAAAATAATATTTTTTTATTATCCCTTTTTCAATCAACATACTTTATCTTAATCAGGATATTAATAAGGAACTAGCAGATCATATAGCTTTTAGAATAATATACCAACTTTTTGAAATTAAACACAATCTAATGATTTGCATCGAAGCATTTATTTTTGATATTGATTTTAATCACTGTCAGATATCATTATACTTGATCCAACTATACCATGGCATCACTGTGCCGCGACCCCCCTGTGCTGGATATTTTTTTGCCTTTATTTTCAAATGTTGAGGAAATGATTTCACTGTTATTGCCATTGTTTTGAAAAATGCATCAATGGGATCTTCTTCTTCCTCAACTTTATTAATGGAATTTAAAATGTGTTGCCTTTCCTCATTACTTCTTTTCAACAACGACAGTAACTCATCTTTTGATTTAATTTTTTGGTAGGCCTTTATTCTTTTGATAATTTTGTTTTTCCAGTATTAAAATTATTTTCAAATTCAATTTCATGAACTGTAGTGGTTTCTGTTGCAGACATAATTGAAAAATCATTTGAATCACTAGAATTATTTTCATCGTCAACAGTTACTGTTATGCTATCTTCTTCTTTACTATTATTCATTTCATTCATAGAATTAAAATTAGCCAGACCGCTTCAGAATATAATAAAATAACAAAAAATAGTTAGCTATGTGTCATTAATTATTTTAGATTTAATAATAAATATTTTGTACAAATTATAAAATAAAAAAATTATTTTTTTTTGTAAAGTATTTTTATATTTTATAAGAAACTGCGAGAAAAAAAATAAGTGTACATTTTTAAAACATATTTGCACCTTAATTATTATTAATATAACTGTATAATGAAATTGTTTTTAAGTAAAATGTATTTAATACATTATTACTCACGTTCGTTCATAAAAACATACGTCCAGAAATGATAATGCATCTGCTAAGACCCATTTTTTTGTTTATTTTTTGTCGATGATCCCGTCCCTAGTTTCCTACTGCTTCTATTTTTATTATACGTATCTTTCATGTTTTTCCATCTCATTTTGCAGTCATAAACTGAAATAATAATAATCAATACCTTTTCATTTAAATATTACAGTTAATAAAACTATATTTAATCGAATAACGTACATATTTATTGATTTTATATAAAAATTTATATAAAAACAAAAATTAAATATTTCGTTCGCTTTAATTAAATTATATATACGAAATAATTAATATTGTAATATTAATCTATATTATAAACGCACAGCAGTTATTTGCAAATGGTTTTAATTATTTTAATACTACTATGGCGAAAATACCACATTTTTACTACGGTAAATTTAAAAAAAAAAAATGTATTAACATGATTTATATTTTTTTAGATATATGGCAACGGAAGAATCGCTCAGGTCATTGTCTTTTTTTATTCAGGATTTCTCAAAGTTATATTACACGTATAATACAATTAGTCTTAAAGAGTTTAAGTACTCGACTATCACCAATCTAATTAAAGCCTCCATTAAAAAAACATTTAGTGCGTATTGCTTATGACTTTTGGAACAAATGGAATTTTCCAAATTGTGTTTGTGCCATAGACGAGAAACACATTCGTATATTTTCTCCAAAGTAAAGTGGAAGCTTATTTTTTAACTACAGGGATTTTTTTCCATTGTTCTTCTTGCAATTGTTGACGCTAATTGTAAGTTTATAATTGTAGACATTGGGTTCTATGGCAAGGAAGGAGACAGTGGAATTTTCAATAAATCTAGTATCTCTCAAATGATTTCAATCGGTAAATATTTTCCTTCTCCTGAAAAACTGCCAAATTAAAATATAACTTTATCGTTGGTACATATTGGCGATGAGGCATTTCGCCTAGACCGATATATGATGCTTCCTTAGTCTAGAATTGAGGCAAAAAAAGATAATCAAAATTTCACATTTAATTACAGACTTTCCCGAGCAAGAAGAACTACAGAGAATAGTTCTATGATAATAAACCTCAACCAACTGAAAATATGATGTCACTGGCAAGAACCAGGGGGATATGCTAACATTGAAGGTTTTTCCGTAAGAGACGAATTAAAAATTTTTTTTAACAGTCCACAAGGAGCTGTTCATTGGCAAAATTATCAATCAAATAGATTATATTAGATATTCAAGTTCCACAATAGCATATTATTTCAGTTATACTTAGCCACGCAGTTGCAGTTGGTATATAAATAATATCTATTTAGAATAAATTGTGTTTTTTTCATGATGTAATTTTAAGATAAGGGTCATTCCACGTGAAATCACCTAATATGTGTGCTGATATAGTTCAGAAATTTATAAAATTTATATCATAGACTTCTTAAAAATCATTGACAACAAAAATAGTATTTTTTTTTTTTATTGTTTTTTTACCAGATAGCGCATTTTTTATAATTAAAAACATGAAAAAACAGCCTAAGTTCGGAAAAACTCCATTAATTTTCTTTATAAAGTTAATTACATCAATAGATATTGTTGATTCTTCGACTACGTTTTGACAAATTAAGAATTTTTCATCTTAAGATTGAAAATTTAATACCAAGTCCATATATTTAGATCTAATAATTTTTTGTTTTTAAGACTAACCTATTAATGTATAACTTTGTATTTTATTGTATTTGATTATAATTAGGTATAATGTAAACAGATATAAAACGTATAGAATTAAATTATAATATAGAATAAATTATAAGGAAATTTATAATAAAAATTATTTTATAATACATTCAAAAATATAACACATTTTATTATATTTTTAGAATAATAAAATGATCTAAAATACATAATATCTGAAAAAATTACGACTTTAAAATTAATTGCATACAATGATATGTAGCATTTTATTTTCGTGTAGAATAAATGCAAAAAATTAAATGATAAATTTTGAAACTCTATAAGTGGTGTTAAAATTATATTCTCTTAATATTGCCAAAGAGCACAGTAAAGAAATGGTCAGAAACAAGGTGTGATAGTAATAAAGCAATAAAGTTTCATTTCACATTCAAGAAATTATTGATGCGTTAGATGAAATATTATATACAACACATGATCCGCTAATTAAAAATCACACTAATTCATTAAATTCGGAGATTAGTACAATAGAAATCCTTATGAGTTTATATATTTGGTATACAGTATTTGTATACTACAGCATAGTAGTCGAAGATTCAACAATATCTATTGATGTAATTAACTTTATAAAGAAAAGTAATGGAAATTTTCCGAACTTAGCCATTGCTCCTAGGATTTTTTTATAAGTCCCAATAACTTAATCTACTACAGAACGCAGGATAAATACAAGAAATAAAAATTGAGTGTTGAATATTACGTAGTTTGTGGATTTTCCATGATACGCAAATTGTAAATTTTTTAAATTCTATAAGTAGCGTTAAAATTATTTCTACATCATAAAATTTTCACCAGACTTTTTAATTGCCTAAAGGTAAGTACTTTGTAAATTTAAAAAAAATTCGTTCAGTCACTTTTGTGTAATGAGGTGATAAAGTTGGCTATTTTCAGCAAACCACGGGTGTTCAAGACCGTAAAACGATACAAAAAAAATTATAAATCGATTCAAATATGATATGGGTTAAAAGAACATAACTAAAAGTTACTGAAAAGAAAAAAAAATTGAATTAAAAATTTTTTTGATCTTCAAATTTTGCTATAAAATAATACAAAATTTAAAAAATTTATATCAAAATTTCGATGTTCAAAACAATTTAAAATTCATAAACTTAAGAATGAAATTGAAGTACTAATTAATATGAGTAAAACAGTGCTAGTTCCTCCACAGTGATAGCTTATTTGGATGTAAAATTATAGGCTCTAGAACATAGGCTGTGTTTTCATGTTTTTAATTATAAAAAATGTGTTATCTGGTAAAAATACTATTTTTGTTGTCAATGACCTTTAAGAAGTCTATGATATAAATTCCATAAATTTCTGAACTATACCAGTACACACATTAGGTGATTTCACATCGAATGACCCATAAACCACTATTATTTAGTTAATGTTGTATGTAAGTAATTATAACTATAAATCATTAAATACTGGTGCTTAGGGATAGGATATCGAAAGAAAGTATCGATACTTGTTAATATTGTAACTAGTATCGAATACAAATATTGATATCAGTAAAATATCGAAACAAATGTATCGATATCAGTAAGTATCGAATCATTTTATAGACCTATATTTCCCAGTATCTAATTATACTGTATGGAATTATGAAATATTGTAATTTTAGGATTTGATTCCTACTGATATCGATACTAATGAATGTTAAAAATATTTGTATAATTAGTACCAATGGACAATGACTATAGTCATTACTCTGTTATTTCTATTTATATCCACTAGTAAAAACCAAATATTTGCAATTATATTTAAAAGCCTAAATATACGTAATAAATTTTAAATACAAATTGTCATTTATTATTTATTATACATTAATTTATACAAAATACTAATAATATTATAATTTATAATTGGTCATTATTAGACAGTCTTCACATAGGTATATAAAAAAAATACTAATATAAAAAATATAACTAAAACCAATCTTCCACTGGGATATCAGCTAACAATAATATTTTTTGAAGGCGAGAACTAGTTAAACGATTCCCAGATTTGGTTAATGTTGCTCCAGCCTTTGAAAAAAGTCGTTCGCAAGGAACAGATGTTGCAACCATGTTGAAATGCAAACGCGCTTAGTTATACAAAATAGGAAATACGTGTTTCATATCCTCCCATATTTCAAGAGGATCAGACTTCAGGGTTGATACTGGATTTGATAAGTATAACGATAACTCATCGTTCATAAAAGTTGTGGTCTTTTTATTTTTTTGGCCATGAACCAAATATTTATGATGTGCCCAAAAATCGAAGTTGTCTGTTTTAGAATGTTCTCCTACTGACTCACTAGAAGAAATGGTGTCCAATTTTGACAACTTTCTTAAATCTGCTATCGCACTTGAACAGGATATGGATCATTAAAATGTAAATTTTTAAATCTTGGGTCCAGAAGTGTAGCAATTGCAATTGGTTTGACCTGTTCAATCATTCCAAATCTTCGAGTCAGTTCAGCATGTAATAAGTCTTTAATTTCACAAATTACCTCAAAATATGGTTTAATTTGTGTCAATTGTTTTTGCAAGCAGCTGATCATTGATATGACTTTGTAAATTGTAATGTAATTTTCCCCAGAAGATTCTTTCGTCACAAATTCCAATGGTTTTAATAAATCCAACAATTGTTTGAGCGTATCCATTTCAATCGCAGTTGGCATCACAGGAGCAGTATAATCTTTGATTAGTAATGGACTACTTAATGTTACCATCTCTACAAATCTACTGATCATATAAAAAACAGAGTTCCATCGTGTTGGAACATCTAATATTAATTTTTTCATTGACCCTTCTGGAACTCCGTTTTCCGACTGCTTCTTTCTTAAAAGATCAATAACTCTCACGCTATTTTTCACCCACTTTATGATATTTCGAACTTTAGAAATAATAGGTTTAATGTTTTTTTGCCCTACTATATGTATTGCAACTAAATTGATGGTATGAGCAAAACAAGGAATGTGTCGGTGTTTACCAAAAGTTTTGTGAACAGAGAAACAACATTTGCACCATTGTCAGTCACAATACTTACAATTTTTTCTTGATTTTTTTCCCAATCTGATAAAATATTTTCTAACTGTTCACTAATATATTGACCAGTATGCCGCTCTTTTAACTCAGTAGCTGCCAAACAAAATGATTTCAGAGAAATGTCTTCTAAGAAATGTATGGTTATACCAAGAAACTTTTTTCTCACATTGTCTCTGTCCATGTATCGAATGTCAGAGATACATGAGGTGAATTTGACAAACGCAATTTTAATGCAGCTATAATAACCTCATACTTATTATCAAGGGCATTTTTTATAGTTTTAACAGAGGGAATTTTGTATGATAGTGCCAATTCTCTAATGAACCGTCTAAATCCTTTTCCTTCTACTACAGAAAATGGACGGTAATCTTTACAAATAAAGTAAAGTAATGCCATAGTTATTTTACGAAAATGATGACCACCTTCTGAAATATAAAAATAAAGTATCGATATTAATAACATAAACAACAATAAATTATGCTGATAAACATACCTGCATATGAGCTAATTTTTTGAAAAGTTTCAACAATAGGGTGTTTTAGCCATTGTAGAGCCTGTGGTAGATTGTCTACACATTCCTAAAAACAAATTAATTATTAGATACAAATCTAAGAATAATTATGAGATAATTTAATTTTGTAAAAATAGTTATGTATTCATCGCTTATCAAAGTATCGATAAACCAGTCCGATAATAAAAATTAGTTTATATTTTTAATGTGTATACCCAGTTATTGCCGTACCACAGAAAATTAGATGCCTATTATATAAATACAAATACACAAACACACTATATATATAATATATAATTATATTATAATTATACAACATATATAATAATTAATAATTATTACCTCTGGCTTAGAATCTTCCATACAAAGCGTTAGTTGTCGCGACTGAGTTTTTGATGAGCAAGGTTCTGGCAATGTAGGCAATGGCGATACAGAACTACAGAAAATATATAAACATCAGTTACTTATCAGTGCTTGAACTGTACACACGTATGGTACGAACGGCGACTCGCTTATCTCTACACTCGTTATATACGTTTAGTTTTCTGTTTCTTATTGTGCGGTGTTAATAATCATTCGTAAAATGTTATGTATTATTTGTAATGATGATATTTTTGAAGTCGATAACCTAAATTGCACCAAATGCAATGCATTATTGCATTTCGGATGTGCAGCATTGAGGGAATCTGCTTTTAGAAAAATGTCTAAAGTAGCCATACAAAACTGGGTTTGTGATAAATGTAAATCAAATGAGACAGGTTTTAAACCACAGGCTTCAAAAACTGAAGCAATGCCAGAATAGACGGACACAAATAATGTAAATAATGAAACTATTAATAATCTCATTAAATATGTAAATTTTATGAGTGATAAATTTGATAATTTTGGTAAACAACTACAAGAGTTAATTGTGACAATAAATAATATCAAAATTGAGAATTCATCTTTAAAAGAAGAAAACTCTAAATTGAAAAATGAACTTAATTCATTAGAAAAGAGAATGAACGTTTTCGAGCAAAAAGCGATTGAAAAATTTGTAGAATTTGTTGGTGTCCCTGAGGTTAATAATGAAGACTGTGTAAAAACGTTTGAGACAATCGCGGCAGCAGTAGGAGCAAACATTTCCGTGACAAAAGCATTCCGTGTTCATTCAAATGTTAAAAATGGATCTAGGAAAATAGTGGCAGAGTTGATGTCAGTTCAAAACAAGAAATTTGTGATGGACTGTGTCAAAAAATCGAAGCTGACGGGTAAAGTAGTAAATTCAAATTGGAATGATGAGAAAATTTTTATTAATGATAGTCTTACACAATTCAATAAAAATTTATTTTTCAAAACTAAAGCTTTTGCTCGAGATACAGGGTACAAATTTGTTTGGTTTAGAGATTCTAAAATTTTTATTAAAAAAAATGAAAGTAGTAAAGCTGTTATAATTAATGATGAGTACTCCTTGTCTAAATTAAGTTAGTTTCGACACTATTTTTATTTTAATTTGTATAAATTTAATTTTTCATAATAAATGGAGAACACTGTAAATATAAACGGATATCTTAGCTATATAACAAACTATTTTGAATCTTTTACGGAATTTTTGCATGTTAATAACAATATAAATAACAAGTATGTTAATATTCTGTGTTGTAATATTAGGAGTGTAAACTCCAACTTTGATGAATTCAACTTATTTTTGGAAAATGAACCAAATAATGATAAAATAGATGTAATTATATTGACTGAAACTTGGCACAATCCTATAAATCAAAATGCTTATAATATTGAAGGGTACAACTTATTCTTTTCCACTATAAAACGAAACCAAAATGATGGTATTTTTGTTTTTGTTAGATCCAATATTAATTTAGTCTTTTTTGAGTATGACTTTGTTGAAACCAATATCATTAAACTTACTTTTACTAATTTAGGTATGCCTATTATATTATTATGTGTTTATAGATCACCCTCAACTGACATTAATATTTTTAATAATACGCAGGCCCGTAGCCACGTACGGGCTAGTACGGGCGAAGCCCGTACAAGCGACCTCCTTGCCCGTACAGAGCCCGTCTAACCCGTCCAAGAAAAAAAAATCTGAAAAAACTGATGTGTAGAAAAATTTCTAGTATTGAAGTTACACAAAATGTTTCGCGTAATATAGTCGGTGCTGTCGGTCAGTGTTGTTAGTGATATTGGTAGCATGGGAGCCGTTATATTAACTAAATGATAATATAAGATGTATATATACATATTTTAATTCTCAGAAAAAGTTATTGGAGTAAAATTACTTGTTATCGTGTAATTTGGGTCAATATCTGCTGTATTTACGGTTTTACCCAGTGAATACAGGCGACTTCCAGTTCTCAGTATTTTGTCTTTGATTGTCACGATTTACATCAATGATTATTGAAACATAACATAACATAATGATAATATTGTTACAACTATTATTAAAGATCGCGTAGCCNTTATGTTATTATCAACTATTATTAAAGATTGCGTAGCCGTCCGTGTAGATAATAACTACTAAGAAGTGCTAGAATAGACAACAGCTTTATTTAATCGCCGATTGTGAACCGCGGATACGCAATTTATAGCGTAGAGGTAAGNGTATATGCAATTTATAGCGTAGAGGTAAGTATATTGTTTATTAATAGTTTTAATTTATTAAAATTACATTTTTAATTATTAATATTATAAAAAATGATTCTCATGAACAGGATGATATGTTAATTGTCAATCGCAGTGTAGGGTCAAGCGGGGTAATTGTAAACAATTGGGGTAATAGTAAATGCATTTTTTTAAAATAAATTCACATAATTTTATTTCAAATTTATGTTTAATTTGATAGCAACACACACATGGACCAGCACTTTTCAATACACAATTAAACCTACCAAAAGTTATTAGTCGAAATATTCATTTACGTTTACTCTGATTATTTACAATTACCCCGCTTGACCCTATAATGGTTAATGTTATTGTTTCGACACGAAGTTCCTTGACGACTACTTCCGACATGTCGAAAAACCTCTTGGAGCGTGTATGAGTGTATGCCAGTGGTGGATAGTGTCTATGTGTTTAAAATTGCGCACAATTATATAAGTCATTTAATATAAAAACTAAACTTATTTTCAAATTTGTATTTTTACTTTGTTTCTTAAAATAAAAAAATTATAAATATTTTAAATGTATCCGATCATGTGAGGTGGTTGGCGGGAGGGGGTGACCGTAGCTTCTGGGAACACCACTAATAGAGGCCCATAATTATTTCCCTCCCGGGCCCAAACTTTTCTCTCTACGGCTTTGATTGTGGACATTATATTTTTGTTTGATCTGAAATTAGTTCTTCTTATGAATTATTGCTTTGAATGGGTCTTTTTTTTTTGGGGAAAACTTTTTATTTTTTTTATCTAGGCCCAGTAACTAAATTTTTGCAAAAGTCACTGTACTGAATGATTGTAATCTTCAATCAACGATCTTCTTACTATTGCAGTTATGAATAAAACAAATTAATGTATAATGTGTTCCTATTAATTTTTTAAAAGCTTTGTAATTGCTAGCCAACTCAAGGGCGGATACAAGGGGTTGACATTAATGACAATTACCTTTTCTCATTCTAAAAAAAAAAAAGTCAAATATTTAATAAAAATGAAATACTTATAATTATCTTCTTTCAGTACCCACCTTGAGCTAATAGTGAAGTGCAATCTTTTAAAATTAGAGAAGTGCTGTGATTATTTGAGGGTTTCTTTATTTCTTTTTACTATTCACATTATTCGTTATGTTTTTAAAAAGTCATTAACCATTACCTTGTGGTGAAATTTTACTATAATTTTACTGTAAAAAATTAGAATTTTCCAGTCACTGTGTACTAATTTTCCATATTTCAATGAAATTTTCCTACTCGAGTTTGTGAAATATAAAAGAATATTAAATTTGCAGTATTATGGTACAGAAAATTTCCATATTTTTTTTTACAGTGTATTTATCAGAAAAATTAAAATGGTGATTTTGAATTGTATGAAATACCTAACAATAACTTACTTTTTTTCACACACTAAATTTTATATTTTTATATCCAAAGCTTCGTCACGGAAACTGAAAATATTATTTCAATTTTCTGTTAAGGTTTTCAAAACTTTCATCTTTTTCAACTAATATGGATATAAGGAATTATTTCGGTCGAAAACGTTCCCGTCTAGAAGAGACTTCCAACTTGCCTAGGATTTCTTCATCTACGAATACTGTAGATGCTCAAGTTGATTCCCAGTCTGAATCAAACTCAGTAAAGGTGTTATCAACATCAACAGTGTCAATGAATGAGCTAGAAGATTTACCTAAAAAAGGAGAACCTATCAAACAAACAGTTTTGACGCAGTATCCTAAAACTAAAGATCGTTCTTTTCAAGCATCATGGTTCCACGAATATAAGTGGTTGATGTATTCGGTGGAAAAAGACGCTGCCTTTTGTTATGCGTGTATGCAATTCAAACCATCAGGAATGAAAGATGTTGCATATACTTTGAGTGGCTTTAAAAACTGGAAAAATGCTAAAGATGCTAAAAGAGGTTTTCCAAGACATGAAAAGACAGGATCGCATGTTGAAGCTATGATTATGTGGGAAGAAAAAAAGAATCGACAAACTTCAAACACAGAAATTTCAACTCTTGTCAATGACAANCAACAAACCTCAAACACAGAAATTTCAACTCTTGTCAATGACAAAACCCTGGAAAAACACAGATATTATTTAAAATCGATTTTCGAAGTCGTTCAATTCCTGGTGAGTAGGGTGAAAAAGGGGATTTTGGTTCCCCCCCGCTTCACCCACCCACCACACCACATGTGATGTAGGTGAATAGGTGTGGAGGGGGGGAATAAATCCAACGTAAACTAACATAATGCAATGGGAGAGGGAACGTTGAAACCCAACGTAAACTAACCTAAGGCAGGTGAGGAACCTCTCCTCTTCCACCAAGTCTTATGATAGGGGGG